GATCAGTTAAATGGTTAGTTAATTTCCTATTAGCAGATGGCTTGCAAGTCTTAACTCCCCCAAATCATTAAACAACATCACTGATGTTTTTGCATATTTTTTGTTGGCACCATATTTTGTTAAACATTAGAACTTGATTCCCAAATAATTATATTGATTTGTGACATGAGTAACAGATTTTATTTCACAAAGATTCCCCTAAAGGAATCTGAGGCATCACTTCCAGCAGTAACAGTATCAAATCAGAAACAAGATATTTTCTACAATATAATTCATAGTCTTGAACATCTAATTCTCTCTCTCCCTCCCTCCCTCCCTCCCTCCCTCTCTCTCTCTCTCTGTGTGTGTGTGTCTATGTGGTCCCTGTATACCTGTTTTATTTTCCAAACTGGCAGGTCTGTTGTTGAACTTACCAAAAAATCATTACATATATTAACTTGCTTTTGAGTAGGTTTTAATTTCAGATGTCTATACCTATATGGAAACTAGGGGCTGGAAAATGGAAATAGATGCAATTTCTACACCATTCTTGCTGTCAATATATTGTTCTTCAGTATGGAAAGATAAATGTATGATCCCAATTACTTGATGAACTGAAGACATGATATTAGTTGTTGCTTATGAATTAACAATAGTAGACTTTTGAATGAACAATTATAATGAAATGTTGTCATCCTCTGTTGAAACAATTGTATAAAACTTTGTAAACAAACAAGAGATACACATACAATACATATATACCGGTATGTACAATTTCTTTATTCTTTTTTTGTGTCCTGTTAAATAAACACAATTTTAATGAAATGCTGGCATCATTCATTTAAGCCTTGCTGAGTTAATATTGTGTGGTGATTTAATTGATCAATAGCAATTATTTTAGAGGAGGTGAGGATGGCCTGTGAACATATCCCTTTATGAACTAGAAATAAGTAAATTTAATCCTAGAATTGTCTAATATTGTAAGAAATCTGAATTTGCAAAAAACTTACTGTAAGTAAGTTGCTGCTGCTGAAAACCAAACACAATACCACATGTGGGGAAATGACCTTACCTAGGATACAAGGATAAAGGGATGCGGTGGCTCAGTGGCTAAGACGCTGAGCTTGTCAATAAGAAAGGTCGGTAGTTCGGACCCCTAGCACCGCATAACGGAGTGAGCTCCCATTACTTGTCCCAGCTTCTGCCAACCGAGCAGTTCGAAAGCATGTAAAAATGCAAGTAGAAAAATAGGGACCACCTTTGGTGGGAAGGTAACAGCGTTCTGTACACCTTCAGCATTTAGTCATGCTGGCCACATGACCACAGAGATGTCTTCAGACTGCGCTGGCTCTTTGGCTTTGTAACAGAGATGAGCACCGCCCTCTAGAGCTGGAACCTTTACCTTAGGATACAAGGAAAGGTAGCATACATTTCCTACTTCTAACATGATTTGTTTCATTCCTCTCCATTTACATTCTATAGAAATTTAAGCAGTATAAACACAGTTGGAATTGAACAGTTCTTTTTTTTTGATAATGGTTGTATTTTTGATCCACAAATTAACTTAACCATATTTGAGCACATTGATCCACAAATTAACTTAACCATATTTTGATACAGTTAGTTGTATAGACCCAACTTTTAGCTTTTGCTTATTAGTATATGAGGTTAATCTTTTAACAAACAACTCCATTAAATATGGACATTACACAAACAAAAATTTAAGAGTTGGGGTTAATAAACAGAGAATGTATGGTTAAAACATTAAGATGTTTCAGGCCAGGGTTTGGGTGAATGTTAAAAAGTTCCAGAAGAAGCTTCATGCAAATGACAGAACTGATTTTTTTTTTCCTGCAAAGACCAACAGCAGAGTTGGAACTAAATGAGCTGTAGCCTTTGTGGAGGTGGATGACTGAAACACAGTACAATAAAAAGACTGACAACTCTTCTTGGAATGAGCTTTCATTAGTACCTTGGCAGCTTGCCCATGTGTTTCCAAAAAACTCACATTTGGTTCACACTTTTTTTCAGCAAGGCAAAGAGCTGATGATTGCAGAAACATGCCTGCTTCTCCAGCATGCAAGCTGGAGTACAGAATGGCAGATGAACTTCACAGTTTCTCCATTGAGGCAGAGAATTATTTGAAATGTTAATCTAGTTAAAATGGTTATACCGGAGCCTCCTTTCCTCCTAATCTATTTTGTACTCATAATATTGTGAACAATAATGCAGAATCCCTTGTTTTGAGATAACTGTTTCGGAGTGAACACTGAATCCAGCAGGCTCCACAGAAGCCTAAGACAAGATTCTGACAATTAGACGACTAGATTAAAACTCTGTGTGTGGCATAAATTTTAATTTCTAAGCATTAGACTTTCGGGGGATATAAAACGTCATTTAGTTATTTTTTCCCTTAATTTTCAAATTAAATTCTTATTGATGAATGTGTGTGTGTGTGTGCGTGTGCGCACGCACGCACGCAAATGGAAGAATCCTTCCCTCATCTGGAAAGTACCATGTTGGCCATGATGACACAACATAAATGGGAGCCAATTCAGTGTAGCAATTCAGTAATATGTGTTGGACAAAAACTTGGGACACCCAGGTTCAGATCCAGATCCACCTTCAGCCAGGGAAAGTAACTTAAGACTAAACATTTGCTGTAGTCTCCCACTCCAACCCACTCACAGGATTGTTACAGGGAAAAATTGGAAAAGGCAAGTGTTCATCACATTAAGCTCCTAGGGAAAAGGCAGGATACAAATCTTTAAAAATAAATATGCGACTTTTGATGACAAAGGGATGGAGTGTGCCATTAATGCTCAAGATACAGCCACTCAACAGAAACCTTTAAAAAGTACAATTTTTCTGCATTGATTGACACATCTCCAAGTTGATCGTCTAACTCATTGACTGAAACTCATTGACTGAAAGTTTATTAGCACCTTCCCTGTATAGATCAGTTTACTCAGTGGCTTCCTGTTTGAAATTGCCCACTTCAATAAAATATTCCCTGTGTTGGGATGCAAAGTAGGCCCACTCTGCTGGAACAAGTAGGATGAGCTTGTCCTAGAAGGATGAGACAGTTATGGACAGAATCTTGCCAAACTAAAGCTGGAATCATGTAAACTACTAGATAATATTCTGAGAGATTCTAAGTGTAGCTACCCTGAACCTCTTCACTCCTGCCTCATCCTGTTTGAGACTGTGCAGTCTTTTAATTGGGGCTTCTCTCTGGGAAAGCTCTGTGTTGCCAATACTGCCCTCACAACTGCTTCTCTAGCTACATATTACAGGCATTCATTTTGGCAGGCATTCAAGATTCTGTTATAATTCTCTAATGGCATTAAAGAGTATTCCAAGACTTCTAGTGATTGTTTCCTGACCTCCATCTATATTGAAGGGGTGACAAATACGTTGTATTATGCCAAGATTGTTGAATAAGCCGAAATGGCTATGTTTGTAGATAATTCATACTGAACAATCATCACACTGAACAGAGCAAAAGCAAAGAGACTTTGTGACTTAGATCTGTCTCATGAGTATTTAAGCAGCAGGGAAGCTGCACGAGCCATTTCACCTTATTTACCTAACAAGCTGCTATTGATTCCATGTGCAAAATGGAATTTAAAAAATATTCAAGGTAAAAATGGCTCAAAGTACATTTGAATTAATATCATGAGGATTACAGTGATGTAAATATGTGAACAGATTTGTTACTTTCATAAACACAATTGTCATGAGATCAAAGCTAGTCTGTTCCCCATTTCATATCCTTGGAATTAAGTACAGAAATGTTAATGTTAGCAAAAATAGAGTACTTATGCTTGTTTGGGTCAGAAATACAAATACTTTAATAAAAATACATATTTTTCTAAAAATCCAAGTATACTGGTACATAAAATATAAATCTATAAAAAAACAAATAACATTTACATTTTTCAACCATTAGTCAAAATGCTAAAGTGTGTATGTGTGTATGTATATAACACAGAACTTGTATTTCTTCTCAGTGAAAACAATTTTTTTACAGAAAAAAAACCCGAATCTTTGTGCATTAAAAATGTAAAGATATCTAGTTATTTCCAAAAGAGGTACTAATAATCAAAACATAATCCTACCATCTTGGCTCTAATTGAAAGCTAGAAAACATCTATGATATAAACCAAACCTTGTGTGTGTGAATTCTGGATGATTACAGAGTAGAATACTAAAACTCAGGGTGCACAAAAGCCTTTTGTTTTGCCAATGTGTCACAGGAGAATGTTTCCCTAGAGTCCACTGCACTCTTTCTCCAAATGCTCAAGTAGCCTGGAGGCTAAACTAGCAGTTTGGGAAACAAGTAAAACCTAAATGTTACTTTGGTATTGCCCGAACCCACAAAATCTGCCGGTAAATAATATTGAGATAAATGAACGGTAATGGAAATGGGAACTATGCAGCATGATACTGTTGGAAATGGAAAATTTTACTGATTTCCTGTTTCCTCTTACTTTTCAACTTAGTTCTGTGGTAACCAAGAGCCTTCCCCTTTATATTTCCATAGCTTTGAACTTTACTCTACACATGAATGTTTTTCTTGCCTTTAGCTGCAATTACTTGGGATCTTGTGCCTTAAGAGATCATCCGCATGTAATAAGAACATCTGTTTAAATGGTTTGGCTATAAACCTTAGGTTAAAGAATTCTGTACATTCATAGTAATGCATCAACATCCTTCTTGTTCCTTCATTTTCTGTGTTCATGTGAAGCATAGAAATGATGTCCCCTAGGATAAAACAATTGTCTGTAGCCAAAATGAAAACAAAACAAAGTGTAGATCTAATTATGGGCTTCGGGTCTTCAGGCTAACCAATCCCTTTGCTCATCTTTTCAAATTATTTTTCAACTGAATGTTTTATATTGATATGACATTTGGTGCAGCTCTCTAGGAACATTAGCGTAGTCACCAAAGTTTCATTGTACAAACACTTCACTTTGCTAAATTGATTATATTCATATCATTAATTCACAATCCAGTTATTGTGTTGTAGTTTTTAATAGAGCTGGCAGGGTACAATTAAAGTGGAGGTAAATTTAATGGGCATATATTTTTTGTTTCTCAATTAAATATCATAAGTTTTCCAATAGGAGATATAACAAATTACAACGTTGTCTATATTGCCATCAATCTTAAATAGTCAATTTTATTCTATGACAGAGGTTTATAAACATCTATTACATTCAAAGCAAACATGTAGGTGTATTATGCAAAACTAGAACATAAACTAAAGTTACAGGGACAATCCAACTTTTTCTGCAGTAATTGTTTTGCCTGCACCCTCAATTTCAAAACATAAAATTCCTCATAAAGGAAGCACTCTCTACAAGAGATACTGGTGGAAAGAGGCCTTAAATAAGAAAGGATTCAAATTCAGAAAACATCCCCATTTATTTGGATGTGCTAGTGAAATGTCAATTTGAAGTGACTGATGACAAATATGTAGATAACACTACTTCTTTCCAAGAAGAGGGCCAAGTGATTCTATTAATAGAAAATAAGAAAATAATTATTGAGTACATCTTGTTTTATCTGTTAATTGTCATCATTTTTGTGTAGGGCATTACATAAAAAGTTGCATTCTTGATCATTCTCGAAGCTATATAACTTAACTTCAATCACTTTGTATTTATAAACTAAAACCAAACTAAATATAACTATTTACATATTTTACAGAATAAAATCACTGCAATAATACTTCCTCAATATCATCTTCTAAAGAATCAAGTGCCTTAACTGCTGGTCTATTTGCTGTGTGTTGCAGTCGTTGTCTTTGGGGTATAAAGTTCTTTCCTTCACTAAAAAAAAGATCAGTGTCATGTTTAATGTTGACCATGGTTCCTTTAGCCTGAAAACCATTGTTTGTATTACCGTCTTGTTGAAAATCATTTCTCTTAGGTGGAGTGATTGTGTTGACACTGCTACCAAACAGCTGTTCCATTAAATTAGACTTTCTCTCTTTCTTAGTATCAAGACCTACGTTTTCCTTAGTGAGTTCATCTAAGAAGTCAATTTTTTGATTAAGCCAGCTTGGCTTCCCTGACCCTTTCCCAAAGGAAGGTACATAACTACCAAATATCACATTGTTGTTTGTACATGTGATGTCTGTAGACTGCGGTTTCTGGATTTCTTCTTTGACAACTGTACTAACTGAACTGTCTGGTTCTGGCAAACCATTAGACCCTTTCTCTGTTGTCTCTAACAATTGGTGTAGTCTCTTATTTTTTTCCAATGTATAAGATACAATAACAGTATCTGTGGTAAGCTCTTTGGAAGCCGTATTTATATTGTTTTGAGTTTCCCTGTCGATTTCATACATCTTGGCAAGCAGAATTTCTTTCCGTCTTTCTTCCTCTGTTTTGTCATGATTCTGTGTTCCTTTTTCTGAAATATATACTTCTGTCTCTATCTTCACTTTTTCATTTTCAAGCAAATCACTGTTTTCTTTCTTCTTTCTGTCTGATTCTTCTTTCTCCCATTCTGAAGATTAAAATACAATAAATTTACATCTACATACTGATTGCATTGACATTCACATGTGATGTTAAACTATAGTTTAGTATGACATAAATGAGTTGAAACAAGCCAATTTTTTCTCCTCCAATAAGACTGGGAAGAGATTCGGAACTTTTATGCTTTCCCATAATTGTATCTTGTCCTCTAGATCAAAAAAATGCTACTAATACTATACAATGGTTCTTAAAAGTATGTAAACCCTATTGAAGTTTCAAATTTTCTATGTAAATATGTCCTAAACATGACCTATTCTTCATACCACTCCTTAAACTAGATAAAGAAAATCCAATTAAAGAAATAAAAACATTATCCTTGTTCATTTATTCATTGATCCTAGGCTACATCTTCCTGTGTGACAAAAGTCCATTGGAAGGAAAATTATTGTTAAGTAACAATTAAATGCAATTGCATAATTCAACGTTAGCTATGATTTACAATTAGAATATAATTGATTTTTAAATAATCCAATGAGTAGTATTTACATATTTCTTTTAAGGACAAATATGCAAAGCTGATTTTAAAAAACGCTTTCTACAATTATCGCTATGCATGTGTATGAGGAGAATGGACTTGGATGTTAATAGTTCTATTGACCATGGTATATAAAAGTACTGTGATGAAAGGGCAAAACCACCAATTCCCATGGAAAGGTAGATGAACGTACACCTACAAAGAGGATGGTATCTCTGTTCTTCCATTTGTACAGTTCAGATACATATAGCAAAATATTTAAGTGAAAGTTCATGGAGTCATAGATATCTCCAACCTAGTCCAAGAAACCACCACTACAGCATCCCCAACGGATAACTATCCAGCCTTTATTCAGATACCTCCAGCAAAGGAGAGTCCACCAACTCCCATAATAATCCCATCCCCTCTTGAACAACAATTACATTAGAAAATTTGCCCAGAATTTATTCTCTTCTACTTTAAACTCTTAATGACTTGTCTCATTTTCAGGAATATCACAGAACAATTCTGCTACATTTTCTACATAAAAAGTCAAAAATATGTGGTCCATAAGACTCCTGAGTGCAGCCTGAATCAGATTAAAATGCAATTCAGAAATATTTAAAATAAAATTAAAATACAATAAAACACAGATTCATGCATTTTAAAATGAAATAATAATAAATTATATCACCAAGCATCATAAAATACTGGCCCTGTGAGAGTCTTGCACTAGTTTACCACATATGCACACAGAGAGAATAGAACATAATTCTTTATTGGGGAGGGTGGAGCTGGCGTCGCGACGATATGGCATGCGATCTTAAAGGTCTTAGATCACTGCTGATATCTTTGCTCCTGGATGGTCCAAACAGATCTAAACTGTCCCGAAGAGACGGTGAATGTAAAGAGCACACCCTGTAGATCCCAGGGATACTGCAAAGTCCCTAGTAGATCCAGGAGAAGCTCTTTTTGCCAGCGGCAAAGAGGCAGCCATTAAAGCTGCTGAAGTTGGGACAGCTCCGAAACTAAAGAGAATGGAAAGAAAAAGTGTGCCGGTTTGGTGAGAATTTTTTTTTTTACCTTAAGATTTAAAAGGACACCTGAAGGAAAAGAAAGAATCTGTAGAATCTTAGACAGAAGTGATTAAGCGGCGATTTTAAATGGGAAGTCAAATTATTTTTTTCTTTTTTTGCTGGACTCTTCATATATGATTTTTTTTACTTTGAACTGGATTGGTCTTTTTTTTTCTACCTTATTTTTTCTTTTTTGTCTCTTCTTTTTGTCTTTATAATATTTTAGGCTAGAGATTCCCTTTTAGCTTTTTTTTTTCTAAACCTTTTTCCCTTTTTAATTAATTTTTATAATAATTTGTTTGGAAAAGGAGGGGGAAAGTGAAAACAGAGGAAACTTTGTAACACTGCCAACTAGAGGCTTAGAAATATTGTTTGTCTTCTTTTCTCTTTCGACCAGACAAAGCTGAGAAAGAATTCAGACTTCTTTTCAAGGATTTTGAGCCTGTCTGATAAGATAGAGGGAAGAGCAAGGGAGAGTATTATTGCAGGTGCTCCTCTGGGTTTCTATCAGTAGCTGGAGTCTGGTGTTGAAATTTACAGAAAAAAGACAATAAGACTCTAGAGAACAGAGCTATAAAACTCAATAAAAGCCTTGGATAACTAAATAGGTGTAGTGTGTTCTTTTTCTCTTTCTTAAGCTGGGCTATTCCTTACTTTAACAAACCCCCTCCTTGTTAGTTTATTATTTGTAATAGCTGTTTAGATCTTTGGCCTCTTGGAACTTGTTTTTGTCTTTCTTTTTGTTTTTGCAGTCTAATTTTTATGTCTGCATTTTATTTTAAAGGAAAAGTCTTAGTATTAATGTTTTCCTTCTTTTTTTAAAAGGGAGTAGTCTTTTTTCTTTTTTTCTCTCTCCCTCCCCTATATATTTTTATTTACTTTCCATATTGATTTTTTTTGTGGCTTCCTTTTTTTTGTATAAGCTTTTAATACCTGAGACTTTTTAATTGGATTAAGGTGTTGAAGAACCTGAAGAACTTTTTCTTTCTTCTTTAGTTTTTTACTTTCTATTTTTCCGCCTCCTGCAAGATTTAACAATTTTTTCCTTTTTCTGTTTGGTTTTTTTCTCCTTTTTTGAGTTTTTACTGCTATTTAACTAATCGATTGGATTAAGGTATACAAGAACCTAAAGAAATTTTTTTATTATTATTATTTTGCTTCTTTTCCCCCACTATTTTTACTTGGAATTACAATTGGTTATTTCACGAGTGGATTAAGGTTTAGAAGAACCTGAATATTTTGAATTGTCTGAAATGAGCAGGAAACTAACAGCAGCTGGTTCTTCAACTTCTACTTCTTCCTCTTCAACATCTGGAGGACAACGCTCAATACAGATGATGTTACAACAAGAAAAAGAACAGGAAAAGGTGACGCTGCAAATGATTATGCAAGGAATTCAAAATATACAAACAAGAATATAGAAAAGAGAACAGAGAACATTGAACAAAGAACAGGAAAAACTGATGAAAAGGTGGAAAACATTCAACAAATGATGATGAAGTATGACGGGAGATTCCAAAAGAGATAAGAAGATTGGAGATATTGATAGCAGATTAACTGTGGTTGAACAAGATAAAAGTGGGATGCTGAGATGGGAGATGGACAGATCAGAATTTTATCTCAGATTCCAAAACATAGAGGAAGAAAAGGGACAAAACCTAGCTGAGATAATGATAGAAATCTTGGCTGAAGCTCAGGAAATAACCAAAGAGAAGATGATGGATGGAATAGACGAGGTTTTTCAAGTCTTCACAAGATATGCAATGAGAAATAGCTTACCAAGAGAAGTTCACATCAGATTTACAAAGAAAGCTATTAAAACGCAAATATTGCAAGTGGCAAGAGAGAAAACATTGAAATATAAAGACAAGGAGATTGTGGTCCTGAAACAAATACCCAGAAGAGTGAGAGAGATGAGAAGAGAATATCGATTACTGACTAAAATTCTACTTAAAAAAGAGGTAAATTATAGATGGCTGATTCCAGAAGGTTAGTTAGGTTAGTTCACATGGCAAGAACAGAGACACAGAATTGACTCAATTGAGAAAGCTGAATTATTTTATACAGAATACTTTGGAGGGAAAGACAAGGAGACAGAAAAAGAAATGTCACTAATTGAATTCCAAGGACTGCCAAATAGCGACTGAAAAAGAAGAAGGTGCAGTAGGCAGAAAGGTGGAAGTTAAAGAACAACGTGAACCAAGTTCTATGAGAGCTGCCAAATCTACCTATAAAGTATAATCATGGAAGAGAAAAAACTGATTACAATTAACATAAATGGACTTAACTCAGCTGTTAAAAGATGGAAAACTTTCCATAAATTAGAGAAATTAAAATTTGATATAATCTGCCTACAAGAAGTACATATTAGAAAGCAACATGAACAACTGTTGATACAGCCAAAGTTAGGGAAAATATTTACTTCTTTGACACAATGCAAGAAAAGAGGAGTGGTTTTATACATTAAAGATATTATCCCAGCAAAATGATCCATACAGATGACGATGGAAGATTATTAATGGTGGAAATAATGGACAATAATATGAAAACACTCCTGATTGCAATCTATGCCCTGAATGACAATCAAGAAGAATTTTATAGAAAACTACACATGAAAATAATTGAACTGGACTATACTAATATAGTTCTGATGGGAGACTTTAATGGAACTGTAGACAATAAATTGGATTATACAACACAGAAAACAATAAAGCAAAACAGAAAGGATTCCCTAAATCCTTTTTTTAAAATGATAGATGAAATAAATTTAAAAGATACATGGAGATAAAGAAATGCTAAGACTAAACAATACACCTTCTATTCAAACAGATATTTATCATGGTCCAGAATAGATATGATATGGATGTCAACAGAATTGTTAGCTAATATCCAAGAAATAAATATTGAAACAAGTACTTGGGCAGATCATAATCCAATGACAATTAAATGGAAAGGACAAAGAAGAAGATTTAGATGGACGTTAAATAATACTATACCAAAAGAAAAAGACTTCATACAGAGGATGGAGAAAGAATTGGTTTTTTTCTTTAAAGAAAATAAAAAAGAAGACACATCAATGCAGAATGTATGGGATACAATGAAGGCATATGTTAGAGGCTTGATAATAGACTATATAAGGAAAAGAAATAACATGAAAAGACTAGCCTCTAAGACATTAGAGGATGAGTATAAAGGACTTGAAAAAGAGTTACAGAAAATGCCACAGAAAAAGGACATTAAGTTAAAAATGGATATAATTAAACATAAAATGGGACTAATGGAAAAAGAAGAATTAGCACAGAAAATCAGAGGTCCGAAACAGAACTATTTTTGAAGATGCAAATAAACCAGGTAGATGGTTAGCATGTAAACTGAGAAAGGAGAAAGAATCAAGGAAAATATTGCAATTAATAGATGATCAAGGCCAAGTTTGCTATG